TTGATCTTGGAGTTGTGAGTTTGAGCCCCACGTTGGGTGATGAGATTACTTAAAAATAAATCTTAGGGGCGCCTGGGTGGCTCAGTCGGTTAAGCGTCCGACTTCGGCTCAGGTCATGATCTCATGGTCTGTGGGTTCGAGCCCCGCGTCGGGCTCTGTGCTGACAGCTCAGAGCCTGGAGCCTGCTTCCAATTCTGTGTCTCCCTCTCTCTCTGCCCCTCCCCTGCTCATGCTCTGTCTCTCTCTGTCACAAAAATAAATAAAAACATTAAAAAAATCTTAAAAACAACAGATTAAAAAAAAAAGAGTCAATTAGAATTACTTGTAATAACCAAAAAGTAGAAACAACTCAAATGTCCATCAATTGATATGTGGGTAAACAAAATGTGGTATAACCATAGAATGGAATATTATTTGGCTGTAGAAATGAAGTGTGGATACCACACTATGGATAAACCTTGAAAACATCATGCTAAGTGAAAGAAACCAAACTGTTTATATGGAACGTTCAGAATAGGAAAATCCATAGAGACAGACAGTAAATTAGTGGTTGCCTAGGGCTGAGGGTGCAGCTTGGGGTGAAATGGGGAGTGACTGCCAACAGGGGGTTTCTTCTGGGGATAATGAAGATGTTTTAAAATGGACTGTGGTGGGGCGCCTGGGTGGCTCAGTCAGTTGAGCATCTGACTTTGGCTCAGGTCATGATCTCACAGTGAGTTTGAGCCCCGCATCAGGCTCTTTGCTGTCAGCGTGGAACCTGCTTCAGACACTGTGTCCCCCTCTCTCTCTGCCCCTCCCTTGCTTGCGCGCTCTCTCTCTCAAAAAAAAAAAAAAATTTAAAATAATGAAACTAAATAAAATTGTGGTGATGGCTACACAACTCTGTGAATGTAGTAAAAATCACTATAATGATTTACGCTTTAAATGGGTGAATTGTGTGGCATGTTGGTTACAGCTCACTAAAACTCTTACAAAAAGAGAGTTGATTTGGGAGCAGATGCCTGCTTTCCAATCCCTACAGCCACAGGCAGCGGGTGCGAGTTACAGGTGCATGCTGCCCTGCCTGCAGGAGAGAGGGAAGACTATGGTCATGAGCCAGTCCTGACTTCAGTGACGTCACTCTGGGGGTTCTGTGGTGGGGGGGGTGCTGGAAGGGAAGGCTGAAAGAGGGGGCTGTCTTCTCTCCTGCTCTTGCACTGTCCCCAGCCACCTGGAGGCACAGAAATGTTGGAGCTGCACAGGATTTATGGATCACTGACAAGGGAAGAGGCTAGGAATGGGGAATGGCCCAGGGTAAGGTCACCTGGCAAGAAGGAGGGGCTGCCCAGGTCAGAAGCAGGAGGTCTCATCTTCCTAATTGGCAGCAAATGTGCGGACGGGAAATCTGATTTTACAAGGGTCTCTGGCCAGGGTGGGTATTCCTGCACAGGACAGGGTGTGATTGCTTACAGCTGCCTTGGCCTCTCCCAGGAGGACACATGCTTTGATTGGACACTTCCTGCTCCCCTTCCCCTTGCAACCAGCACCGGGGAAAGACAGATGGGCCCTGGGAGCTGACATCTAGGCAATATCTGGGTCTCCCCCTGGACAGAGCCTCCACCTCCCTGGACGCCATGCCCCAGGACCCTCTTGGGAGGGTCCCCAAGGAAACAAGGGCATATTTGCTGGAAATTACCTATCACCACCCCATGCTGTGTAGTTTTTTGTTTTTGTTTTTTTTAATTAAAAATTTTTTTATGTTTATTCATTTTTGAAAGAGAGAGACAGAGTACAGCAGGGGTGGGGTGGAGAGAGGTGGGAGACACAGAATCTGAAGCAGGATCCAGGCTCTGAGCTGTCAGCACAGAGCCCGACGTGGGGCTCCAACTCACAAACCGTAAGATTATGACCTGAGCCGAAGTCGGATGCTCGACCAACTGAGTCACCCAGGCGCCCCTAGTTTTTTGGGTTTTTTTGACAAATGTTTTCTGAACCTGGCTCAGGACCTACTGGCTGCTGGACCCCTTTGAGCACAGAGCCCGGTGCTGAGTCCTGAGAGGAGACTCAAAGAAGAAATGGGTCCTGTCCCCTGGGGAACCTGTGGGCTGAAGGGAATAGAGAGTCTTGTCCTCTGTGGGACAAACTTGTCACATTTGCAAAGCCCTTGCCTGGGAGGAGGTATAGCCTCACCACAGGGAGGCTGGACAGAGGGATAACTTGGGGAGTCCCAGTCTGAGGGGGGCAGCTCAGGACTTCATGACTATCCTGGGAACTAGCCTGAGACTAAAGGTAAGGGTGGTGGGTTGCCTCCCACCCTGGTATTGGGTGTGGGGTGCATTGTAGAGGATGCCGACTGGGGGTGATATTGGGACAGACCTCCTGGGGAGGCTGACTCTGAGTGGAAATGTGACAGGAGCCTGGGGCAGTGGGCGGTGTTGTTGGCAAAGAGGGCACAGCTCCCAGACTTGCATGTGTGCATGTATCTGTTGGGGGACAGTTGAACTCTGCTCATTGCAGAGCAAGGAGACTTGACCCTGACCTCACTCACAGAAGTGCCCTGGGAGCACAGGACTTGACAGTAAACATGCACTTTTGCACTCACTGTCATGTGTGTCCCCATGCGGGCAGTGCAGGGCATGTAATCCCCATCCTAAAGACGTGGCCCAGGAAAACAAAGTAACTTGCTCAAAGTCACACAGCTAGGAAATGATGCCAGGTCTCCTGGCAGTACAGTCCTTCAGGTGAGAGAAAGGCACACAATGGGAATTGTGGAATCTGGGCAGAACCACTATAAAAGCCCTGATGTGAAGCCCTGCTTGACCAAGAGGCCAGTGGGGCAATAGCTGGACTGTGAAACTAGGTTGCACAGAAGCCCGTTTCTCCTTCCTTTTCCCAAGGCTGAGTGTGCAACCAGCAGCATTCATCCAGGCTGCCACCTTCCGAGGTGCCCCACCCAAGCCCCCAAGTGTCCTACGGACCAACTGGAGCCAAGACCCACCCCAGGCCTCACAGCCTCATGGCCGTTCCACAGGAGAGCTGGGACTAGCGTTTGCCTCATGGCCTCTGGACCCATCCATCTCTTTGGCTAATCACTTTTCCCAGCTATGCTTTCTCCACACCCGTCCCCCTCCCAGAATGGGCCACCCCAGCCTGGTGTCTCAACCAGAGCACTGGACAGGGAGTCATTTGGGGTCAATTCAGAGGAGACTTCCTGGAGGAAGCAAAGAGGAGGAGGTTGCTGTGTCTGGTGGGAGGTCAGGGAAGTCTTCACAAGGTGAAGAGTGTGCCAAGCAGAGGGATCAGGTGCAGAGGTAGAGAAAGAGAAGGAGGCTCAGAGGGGTCTGAGCAGTTGGAGTCTATATGGCTTCCTGGTGCCTGGGGTGTGCAGGAATGATCACACTTCAGAGGAGAGAAGATGATGGTAGGAACCAGAACAGGGGTATGTGTGTCGGTGAGGATCAGAAGGGAGTGTCCCCAGGAGAAGGAGCAGGTGGGGCACTCCCCAAGCTTTCATCTCAAGGTTCATGCAGTGGCACTGAGCAAAACAGCAGACCAGGTGGCCCTGGGGACAACCAGGGGTGTTCATGGGAGTCTTGAATTCAGAGATGCAGACAAGGTCTGTCTGTGACAACTGGTGCCCTGAGAGGGGTGTCTCCAGGGAGGTGTGAGGGCTGGAAACAGAAGCATCTCAGGATACAACTCTGCAAGCCCCCATGTTAAGAGGAGGGGCTTTGGAGGAGACTGAGAAGGAGCACCAAGGAGGTGGGAGGGAAACCAGGAGAGTGGCATCAGGGGACAATGGAGCAGGGGTCATTAGTGCCTGCATAGGTAAAGCTAAGGCTTGAGAGTAACCACCACATCCATCGAGGTCTGGTCAGCCTGCAGTGGCCCTGAGTGTGAGAGAGAGTGAAGAAGTGGGTCAGTGAGGGAATGACCTTTTCCCAGGCTCAGGTGGTGAGGAGCCAGGGCAACAGGCCACATCTGATGGTGGCTGGGGCCATTTTTAGACTGAGAAACGCAGCAGAAAAGAACCCAGGAAAAGGAGACAGACAGAGCTGAGAGCCTGAACTGGTTGAGGGCTGGGTCCAGAGAATAGGATGTTGTGGCCTTGCAGGTCTCCCTTAGGACTGACTGGGTGGGCCACCTCACACCAGCCAGAGTGGCTAAAATTAACAACTCAGGAAATAGCTGATGTTGGCAAGGATGTGGAGAAAGCGGAACCCTCTTGTACTGTTGGTGGGAATGCACCAGTGGAGCAGCCACTCTGGAAAACAGTGAGGAAAAGTTTTTTCCTCAAAAAATTAAAGATTTAATTACCCTACAACCCAGCAATAGCACTACTAGGAATTTATCCAAATGATAAATTTGGATATATTTATATATCTCAGCAGTGAGAATGAAATCTTGCCATTTGCAACCACATGGATGGAACTGGAGGGTATTATGCTAAGTGAAGTAAGTCAGTCAGAGAAAGACAGATACCATATGTTTTCACTCATATGTGGAAGTTGAGAAACTTAACAGAAGACCATGGGGGAAGGGAAAGGACTGACTGGGTGGGTCAGGCTCTAGATGAGGAGTGGTTACTATTATTCATTCATCAAACATTAGCTGAGTGCTTACTGGGTGCTAGGCAGTGCCTAGAGCTGGAGATTGAATGGTGAATACACTATATTACCCTGATTCCTGAGGAGGCCATCTGGGGAGAAGGATGTAGGTGCCCGTCTTCCTTTCTCTTCTGGAGGACTCAACTCTCTTGAGCAACCCTGGCAATGACCTGCCTCTGTGGGTCCCAGGAGAGGCCAAGACATTGTCAGGGAGATGGAGAAACTATTTCTTCAGTTGCACATAAGGTGGACTTTGCCCACTGCCCAGCAAGCCCTGTGAGGCAACAGCAGTAGGTGTGAGGCAAGCCTGAGCCCACATCCGGGCCTGCGGCTGTGATGGGCGGGTCAGGAAGGCTCCTGTTTGGATCTTTGCATCAGGCCCAGGCTGGGCATAAAGGAGGGACTTGCAGGTGGGGAGGAGGCCGACTGGGGACCATGGAGACCCAGAGGGACAGCCCTTCCTTGGGGCGGTGGTCACTGTTGCTACTGCTGTTGGGCCTGGTTATCACTCCGGCCACCCCCCAGACCCTTAGCTACGAGGAAGCTGTGCTCCGTGCTGTGGATGGCTTCAACCAGCGGTCCTCAGAGAAGAATCTCTACCGTCTCCTTCAGAGGGACTTACAGCCCGAGGGAGTGAGTCGAGGAGGGGATGGAGGGGAGGGAGGTTCTGCTCTAGCCAGTCTTGGCCATACTGTCCCTCCCATTGTTAACACTTTGTTCATGTCAGGAACCCCCCTCCCTTAAGTGTGATCGCACCTCTTTCAGGAGACCTTCCCAGAGCTGTACCCCCCATCAGCGCGAGTGCTTCTTGTCTTAGAATCTCTGCTTCTTGCCTTAAAATCTCTATTATGTTGGGGCACCTGGGTGGCTCCGTCAGTTAAGCATCCAACTTTGGCTGAAGTCATGATCTCATAGTTCGTGGGTTTGAGCCCCGCATCAGGCTCTGTGCTGACAGCTCAGAGCCTGGAGCCTGCCTCAGATTCTGGGTATTCCTCTCACTCTGCCCCTCTCCTGCTCATGCTCTGTCTCTCTGTCTCTCAAAAATAAACATTAAAAAAAAAAAAAAAAGAATCTCTACTGTGTGAAGAGGTGCCCCCCACCCTTACTCCCTCCCATTTAGACTTCTGGAAGTTTCAGGGACAAAAGTGGGGTTACTGGCCCTGGGATGTGACTTCCCTGGAATGGCTCTGCTCAGCCTTGAGATTCCAGTGGCAATGTTTTGTCTCCAGGAGGCCCCTGCTTTCCCTTGGCTCCCTAAGGGGGAGGTGCTATTCATTAGAGCTTTCCTGAGGTCCTCTCCTGCTCTCTCAGCTTGGTGAGGGCAGGAATGGGCTTTGTCATCCTCACCTCCATACCTTAGCACAGAGCCAGTGTCAAGCACATAGCAGGGGCTGTTGTAAGGCTACTCTCTTCGCTGGGTGGCTCGGGATGGGGCAGGGAGATGGATTAATGAAGGCAACCATGAGCCTGAGTCTGGTCTTCCTGCTTGCTTCCCTGACCAGGACGGGGATCCAAATACCCCGAAGCCTGTGAGTTTCAAAGTGAAGGAGACTGTGTGCCCCAAAACGACACAGAGGCCACTGGAGCAGTGTGATTTCAAGGACAATGGGGTGAGGCTGGGGGCTCTGGCAGAAGCCCCCAAATGAGCTGAACAAGAGGACTCCTGGGAATATTTCCAGGCACTGGGGTGAGGCTGGGAGGTTATGGCATAGGGGTTCCAATTTGACCTGGAGCCTCCTCTTCTCAGCTGGTGAAGCAGTGTGAAGGGACAGTCATCCTGGACCAGAACAGGGGCTACTTTGACATCAACTGTGATGCGGTGAGTGGCTCCCTGTAGGTTGCAGGGGTTGATGGGGTGGTGGTACATAGAACATCCTATGGGCCAATTAACCACTGTCCCATCCAGGGCACAGAAAGCCCCTCCTAGCCTGGGCTTCTCCCTCAACCTGGGCCTCATCTCCAGGACCTCACAGGCTCTGTGTTCCCTTAGTACAAGCTCTCAAAGTGTGGCCGTGAGAACTCGGTAATTTATTAGCAATGCAACTTCTCAGGCCCCATGCAGATCTGCAGAATCAGATTCTGGGGTGGGGCCCAGCAATATGTAGTTTAACAAACTCCAGGGGATTCTGACTCCTGATAAAGCTTGAGAACCACTTAGAGTAATATGCTTTCAGCTGTGAGACCCTGGGAAGCCCCTTGCTATATCTGGGCTACAGTTTCCTCATCTGTGGGTGTGGCGATTCAATCAACTACATACTCCAAAGGTTACAGCCAGAGGATGAACTGGGATGGCCCAAGAAGGGGGGTGTCTAGGAGGGGAGGGGTCTTGTCTTGACCCTGGGTCCAGCCCCCACAAAGAAACTGCTTCCTTCTGATGCACAGATTCTACAAGTCAGGAAATTGGGCCAGCTGGGTGAGCTCATCCAACGAGGTGGGCAGAAGATTGGTGAGAAGATTCAGAATATTGGCCAGAGAATCCGTGACTTTTTTAGCAATCTTCGCCCCAGGCAAGAGGCCTAAGGGTCTGCTTTTCCCTGGCTCAGGCTTCTGGACCCTGCAAAATAAATTTTTGTGAAAGCAACTTCCTCAAGTCTTCAATTGTACTTTTCTGTCTCCTCCCACTTACCATGACTTGAGTCCTGAATTCCGGGAGGACGTGTGTGTGTGTGTGTGTGTGTGTGTGTGTCCATGCAAAACACAAAGGTGGAGCAGCTACTTCACCCAGAAGGGCACGGGGTGAGGTGGCAGGTCCAGGAAAAGTGGCTCCATTCTCAGGGTCCTTCTCCCATGCCCATCACATGCTTCCCACCAGCCTCGTTGAACACCCAGTGTGACTTAAGGAGATCTACCCTGTGTGCAGTGGTAGTGTGGATGTGCAGAGCTGTTCCTACTCCTATGGAGGTGAAAGCCACTTTGTTAAACACAGAGACACAGGTCAGTCTCATGGCTGGCTGGGTTCTAAGGCCAGCCTGCTGGTACATTTCCCATCAAGTTCCAGTTCCTTTCCAACATCTTAACTCTGGAAAAGCCCACCACTTCTGACATCTCCTCTGGCATGGGAAAACTCACTGTTTCTTTAGCTGGGCAGCAGATTTAAGTTGTGGGCTTGTGTTTAGTGATCAAATAGCACCAACATTTTGTACCATTCAAAGCAAGAGTCTTGCTCAGGGGGCTGAAGAGCTCTGGCTAGGAGAGACAAGCAGGGTGACACACTCTGTTGCATTGGGTGTTTCAGACAACGTCCGTGTCTTGCCCACTTGCCATTCTGTAGCTGACCCGAAGCACCTGCGGCTCTTTGCTAAGGGCAGCCTGGAAGTACTTGGGAGTAGGCATTCCAGGGAGCAGCCTCAACCAACGATTGGTGGGAGTGGTGGAAACATATTTTCTCTTCCTCACTCCGTGGGTGGGCCCACTCCAAGATGTGTTACACATCTCCCAGGTCCTCAGCTGGTTGTGCCCCTGGCAATGACCTGTTCATGAACACCCCCTCTTCTGTCTTCTCTTCCTGCCCCGTCTCACTTCCTTACACTCCCGCTGCTGCTCTCTGTGTTTGTCTCCCAAATAAACTACTTCCACTTGCATCCTTGTCTTAGATCTGCTTCTGGGCCAACCTAAAATAAGACACAGACATCCAGCTCTGAGAGCAACAGGAGGCAGGATATCACATAGCATTTACTGTGTTATCTGTCATGCTTGCTTCTTCTTGGTGCGCAGGTCACATTAAGGTTTTCTGCTTTCAGTGGCTCCCACCTTCCACAGTGTGACCGTATCAAGTGGGCTCCACTTGACTTTCCCTTCTGTGACAGCTGCTATTCATAAATTACTGAATTCCCTGTACCAATTGTGGGCCATTGTTCTTATCACCCTGGAAGCCAAAGTTAATTGTCTCAGTGATGGGACATGGACTACTCTGATTACAAGGATCTGAAAAGGCTCTTGCTTTAGGAAATGGGTTTTCTGCTTCTACCAAAGTGTTCATCTTTGTGTGCATTATTTAGTTTTTAAAATTTTCTCAATATTTTATTTAAAAACTAGTTAAACAGGGGCACCTCGCTGGGTCAAGTGATAGAGCATGTGACTCTTGATCTCAGAGTTGAGTTCAAGCCCCACATTGGGTGTAGAGCTCACTAAAAAAAAAAAAAAAAAAAAAAAAAAAAAAGATATATATATATGTGTAATATATATATAGTGAGTATAAAATATGAAAAATATATAGTAAAATAAAATAAAAAATTAAAAAGTAAACATACAGAACGATTGAAATAATTGTATAGTGAACATGTACTCATCTGTTAGAATCTACAATCACTATTTTACTTTAATTACTTTTGTAGTTGCTTTAGAGTCCATCCAAAGAGTTCCTTGGATGGTCTTTGCTCCTTGTGGCTGGTTTTGGGGTAAAAGCAGAGAACAGGAGCCACACTTTGAGCCTGGTCCTTTTGGGGGAGGACGGCCCCCCCCCAGATGTTTGTGATGAGAGAAACTACCCAAAAGAGACAAGATCAGAACATCTGGTGACTTTGACCTGTGCTGGTCACCGAGGCTGTGGGCTGCTGCCTCCAGAACGCATAGTAGGCACTCAAGAAATGGCAGTCCCTCCCTTCCCTGGAGGGGAGAGGTTTGGCTGATGTGTAACCTGTGTTTTCTGGTGATTCCAAGGACAACTTGGGTGACTCCAGACTGGAATGTCCTTAAACACGAGGCAGAGGAAACGTGTTGTCTAGCTGTGGTCTCATAGTGAAAATCACTGATAGGAACTCAGTGTCTGGGGCCACATTCCCTGGAGCAGCCTCAGAACACACAGCAGGTGAGGGTCAATAACTGGTGCCTTGTGACCAGCCAGAGGCCTCCCATGAGCAGAGATGAGGGGGGTCCAGCTGGTCAGCATCTGCTCACCTGGGCCTCAAAGTCATTGTGTTGCTCCAGAGATAAGCAAGACTCTATTTGTGATCTCATCGTCAGTTTGGGGATCTTTGCTTGTTTTTGTTTTTAAAGCTCTTGATTGGTAGAAGGGCCTCTGAGCAACTAAATGGATCAGTAGTGTGGGTACTGAAATGTTTCCTTGGGTCTATATTATCCTCTTGCTGCTTGTAGACATATTGTTTGTCACCGTAATGTCCCTGTAATAAGAGCTTCAGCCTCAGAGCACGTGGGCTCATGGCTTTTATGAGATGAGGGTGGTTGAGCGGAGCTCCGTGGGGCAGGGGGGCATTTCCCCCTTTTCCACATGTTGCGGCCGGTCAGCCTGATGGTTTTCGTGACCACCAATGGTCTTCCACATTCACAAAGGCCTTTGTGGCATTTGAAAGACACTGAGCGCCTGTTTCTAGTTTGGCCAGATCCTGTTTCCAGGGATGAGGACATGTACATCAGTGTGGTTCTGAGGGGATCTGTGGTCTGGTTATAGTACGTCACCCTGCGGCTGTTCTGGGCCCCACGGGCAGGTCTGGCTAACCACCTCAGGAGCCTGGGGTACTGCATCCTTGACCTGGGGCAGAAAACTGAGCCTGTGGGATCCAGAAGAAAAACCCGAGCTGAAAAAGCAACCCAAGCAAGCTGTTGGTCTGCAGGGGGATAGGCCAGGAGGAGAATCCCCGTAGGAGGACCGGGGTGGGCTGGACAGCTGAACCAGACGTGGTGGTTTCACAAGGAGCCAGAAGGAATTTCCTCAAGCTGAACCTGCAGCCCCTTGGGCTTCTTCCAGGGCCGTCTGCAGCCTTGGTCAAGAGCAGGGAGGGGCACTTGGAAGCCTCAACCAAAGTTAGCCACTGGGAACGTCTGCTCTTGTCCTCCCCTACGTCCTCCTTGAGGAAGGTAAAGGGTAACCTTTCCACACTGCACACGGGGGAAAAAAGTCCAAACAAACAAAAAAACCAGGAAAAAGTAAAAAACCACAAACGCCACACACAAGGTAGGAAAAGGTCAAATACCTTCCCCAGGACACACAGATTTGCTAAAATTGCCTGAAAAGAGTTTGGTGAGCTAAACATAGCACAGTATCACCAACTGGGGAATGATCTTTATCGCATAATCCGTTGCACGTTAGGGAATGGAAATTTCACATTGACTAGTCCGATTCCAAAATCTGAATAAGGTTCAAATTGGCAAGCCTCCGCTACAATTAGTAAAAGAGAAGATGGTTTTCTTGCCCAGCGCCAAGCCCCAGCCTCAGAGCCATCCTGGGTCTTGCTTGCCCTTCCTGTCTGCCAGCATAGCCCCACCCCCGAGTGCACCTGGGATGTTCCACTTTTCATCCAAACACAGCTGTGCTCAGACCCATCCATACTTCCCCTCTACCCTGGGATTGTTCTGGTTGACGGTTCCAGATCAAAGTCCCAGGGATGCAGAGAGGAGAGGGCCTTGCGTGGGCTGGGTGAGTCGGGGAGGTGGCTGTAATGGCTGTGGCTATCCTTGACCAGATAGAGTGAAGGAGGCTTCTGGATAAGGCTGCCTCAGGCCGGAGCTGTGGGGCACAATTTCTCCCGTGGACACGCTTAATCCAGCCAGTCCCTAAATTACATTATTCCCTTTCTTCTTGGGATAGTAATGCTGTAATATTTCCACAATAATGATGGTATAACGTCTGTAATTACAGCATGATTTTGAATCTGATTTCTTTACCTAATGGGTAATCACATCAGAACACAAGAAAATGCTGAATTTGTTTTAATGAGCCTAGTGTGAAATACTCAGCTCTATCTACAAAGGAAATCCCAGTTAAACTGCCTAGGGGTAGTGATTTTTAAGCCTCCTTCCCTGTACCTGAGAGGCGGTGTGTTGGATGGACACAGGACCCCTCATTTACATTTTGATGATGAGGAAATGAGGACTCCAAAGTGAGGAAGTGGTGGGTTTTGGATTTTCCATCAGTTCTTTTGGGTTGCAAATTCAGTGTCTTCAACCACAATATTATATTGCTTCTAAATTACTTAATATGAGATAACCCTAGAGGACCAAGGGTCACTAAAAAACATGGAAAGCATAAGGGAAAAATAAGTCCTCCACACTCCCTCCCCGCACCTGGCTGACTACTCCTGGATCTAAGACCTCTAGGGGCCTCTCCATCAGGCAGCACAAGGAGCAGTAGGTGCCTGCCACCTCCTGAGGGCCCAGCAGAAGGCAGAACCTGGTCACAGCCGGAAGGAGAGTTTGTGGCCCTGAGCACGTGGGGGTCATGGCCCTGATCACGTGGTGCCACAGATCCATCTCTTGAGGTCACAGCTCTGATCACATGGGCTCTGGTCATGTGAGGTCACGGTCCTGACCATGGTCCTGACCCATCAGGTGGGGTCAAAGGGCCACAGCCCTGAGAAAGGGGCATTAAAATCTCTCCCATCCTTTAATATATAACAACACCGTTCAGACTGTGGTCAGAGCAATAATTTCCCTTTGTCGTCTCCTTCCTCCCCCCTTCCCTTTTTCCTTCCATAGTTTTTAACAGGAAGAATGGCAATCAGTTTGCAAACCCCACAAATTGACTATTCCATTCATCTAACTCACTATCTACACCTATGACATGCTATCTTGGCGTCATGCCCTGCACGTGGGATAACAGCCCTGAGTACGTGGGGCCAATACCAC